TGCATTATTAAATATAAAATTGAATTATGGTCTTTGTATTCTACTCTGAAAATAATTATATGTTAGGACATATTACACCGTTGTGTGGTTATCCAACACGCATTCAAGGCGTGTGTACCTCACGCTCTTCACCCAAATTAGAAATTGAAATCGTAATTAATAATTCTCATATATTTTTTATTTTTTTAAAATGTAATTGAAAATAAATTTTTGATATATACTAATTGGACCAACTGAAAAGACTTGCAACAAATTGTTCTTTCCATATTGGCCATTATAAAAGGCCCAAAGTACAACTCATCTACAAATAATTAAGTTAATGGGTCAATCTCATTCATTTAATCGTCGACCAACGTCTCTGATTAGATCATCTGCTCGCGTTCAGTGACCTACTATCTCGTTTCTATCTAATTATTTCAACTAAGTGATATAACATCGAATTTTTATTTATTTTTTTATATAAAAATCTTCAAAATTTTATTATGTGCATTATTTAATTTTTTTTTGATTCAATATAAAATTAAACTATGTTCTTTGTATTGTACTCTTATTTGAGTTTCTAAACCGTCCCAATTAAATATATGTTTGTTTGTTTTATCAATCAATTAAATATATGTTAGGACATTATAAATAACTCATGATTAATACTATTTCAATTAAATAAATAAATAAAAATAGTAATATTTGGGTTTTGTTGCTAGTGCCACACCACACGTGTATAAAAAAAAGCAGGCAAGCACGTATACAGAGCAGAGACATGAATCCAACCATTTTCACTCTTGAAACTTGAAAGTACTATTAATAATTATTAAAAGAGTCAAAAAAATTATTAAAAAAAATATATAATTATTAAAAGAGTCAAAAAAATAATTAAAATAATTAATTATTATTAAGAGGGTCATTATATTGATGTGCATTATGAAATGACTCAAAAAGACAAAAAAATTATGGCATGTACACAAGGTTTTGGACAATGTGTTTTCCAATTAATTACATTTATTTAATTTTGTTTCATAGTACATGTTTCAAAGTTCATCCCCCCTTTGGCCTTTTTACATATATATCAATTACTCTTGTGTCTCAATCTCACTATAAATAAATAAAATAAATCCATGTAAAATAAACATTGAATTTTGATCCAAATTTGATGGTGCCAAGCTCTAAAAAATTGTAAAATAGATCGATATATATATAAGCCATTCCTGAGTTACGGTTAAATTACAAAAAAGTCCATTTATGTCTGGACAATTACAATTCTGTATCCCTCAATTATGTATTTTCTTAGAAAAAGATCTCTCATCCAGTAAATAAATTTGATACTATAAGTGGGACGTACATGAAGGATTTTTTTCGTAATTTCACATTACCTTAGAGGAGTGGCCGTAATTTGTCCTATTTATTCGTATTTTCAAAAATTATTATATATATATTAAATAAATCCCTTTAGACAAGTGTGCCCTCTTAAACCATTCAACAATGACTAAACAAAAAACCATATGTTCTTATGTCTACCTATTTTTTTTTTCTTCCATGGTGCAAATTAAAATATAAACTTGAAATGGCAAAAATTAAAGAAAATAACAACTCAATAAAAATATATATATATATATATGTATTAAGTGTATGTATAGGTGTATGTAGATGTATATACATCACTTAAAGCACAAGGTACATGTATTTAGTATGCTGCTACCTTTGAACTTGACATGATTGTCTCTCTCAAAGCACAAAAGTCTGTATCAGAAATAAGATTTGGAGGGAACAATAGTCACGTGCGTTGCATGTGAGAATCCCAAGACCTGGGCAAATTAATCCCTTGTCGATATGATTAGTCATATCTGGTTTGAGCCCACGTGTCACCCTTTTTTTTTCATTTTTATTATGGGTGTTACTATTTGCAGCGGGACTTTTACTGAAATTGGCTTATTTGCAGCGGTATTTTTCTCATTTAATTTTTTTTGAATTTCTCTCTCCTATTCCCAAACTCTCTCTAGAAATTTGAATTTCGTAAATTTTTTCGACTTTGAAACCGTAGCAAACGAGGCTCGATTCCGGTAAATTTTCAATATCCTACTACTTTTAATTAGTTTTATTTCCAATTTAGATAAAAACACATGTTTAGGATTAGATCTAGCAAAATTTCGAAAAAAAAATAAAAAAATTTTGAAGCTCCCGTTTTCTGGAGCACGAAAACTCGAAGAAAATTCAAGTTTACGTGCTCTGCAGAACGGGAGATTCAAACGTCTTGAATCCTCGGTTCTGCAGAGCACGGGAACTTGAATTTTCTTCGAGTTTCCGTGCTCCAGAAAACGAGAGCTTCAAAGTTTTTTTTTTTTTTTTCCCGAATTTTTTCATGGTTCCCGTCCTCTAGGGCACGGGAAAACCATATTTCCGTTTTCCAGGGCACGGGAACTTGGTGTTCCCGTTCCCCACAACACGATTGTCCTTTTTTTTTCTTTTTTTTTTTTTTTGAATTTCCCGTTCTGTGTAGCACGGGAAACCCTAAAAAAATTGGGTTCTCGTGCTGCACAACACGAAAATACCGCGAAAAAATAGAAATTTCGCTAATTTCTTCGATTTTATCTCGTAGAAGTCATCTGAATCGGCCATTATGTTATTTGTTGTCGTCGGGAAGTCGATTTATCAAACAAACACAAAATTCTTTTTTTTCGACTTTTTTTAGTTGAGAGCGTTTTGAATTTTTTAGAAAGTTAAAAAAAGTTGAAATGAAAGTACCGCTGCAAATACGGCGATTTCAGTAAAAATCCCGCTACAATTAGCAATTCAGTATTTCTTTTCAAATATTAATATTATGTAATAAGGGGCAAATTTAATCTCTCTAGTTCACTAAATATAACTAATACAAAATTACGTTCTTCTCTAATTCTCTCATTTTTTTTTCAGAAATACACCTATATAAATATTTATTTCTTTTACTTACTGCAAAATTAATTAAATATGTAATTATATTATTACTTTAATAGGTCATATTCAAAAGTACAATTGCATTTTTTCTTTCTTTGGCTCCATCAACGAAAATTTCAGAACTTATGTGATGTTTAAAATTTTCGAGATTTTTGGGATCGATATATCAGAGTAGATTAGAAATTCCAAAAAAATTGGAATTGTATGTAGTTTTGTGCTTCCAAAAAACAATGATTTTTTTTTTTTCTTTCGAAAATGATAATTTCGATCCGTTACATCCGATTTCCATCCCTAACTATGAGAGCCAATAAAATTTATTTTATTGTATTCTTGAAAAAATAGACATGATCACTGATCAGATGAAATAAGTCCATTATTATCAAAATATTAAGACTAAGTCCATTATTATCCAAAATGAGATATATTCTTGAAGATTTTTCTTAATGAAAAAGGACCACTAAATTATTAATTTTAATTTCTTGCTTTTACTTTGGTAATGGATATAGAATTCAACTCTTGATATAAAGTATTGAGTGGCTAATATTTCCCACGTAGAATTTCTTAAAAAAAAAAAAAAAAACACCCGAAATTCCTCGTTCCCAGGACCCCATCCCATGGTTCGATAAGTTTTAATGGAGGAACAAAAATCATGGTGACCCAACGGCTCGTTAGGGTTGCGGACTTAGATCAGGTGTCCACAAGGAACCAATTCTCATTAAAGTCGGAATTTTCACACTATGGTTGTCAGTACTCGATCCTAAGACTTTACACTAACTTACGACCCATAACCAATTGAACTATACCCACACGGGACTTCCATTGACTTTTTGGATTTGTAATAAAATTTTGTTCTATCTATTCTTTTAAATTAGTTGAAAATAGGTCCCCATTTGGAATAATAATTACATTCAAATCGGTCCCCATTTGGGGAAAAAAAGTTAATTTTATCCAAAGAGGTCCCCAACTTCTCTAATATATAGTTGACATTCATGGAATTATATTTTTGTTGAACAAATTTTATATTGATAATGGCAAAATGTACTACCACCGCATATTTTATTTTCGAAAAAAATCGGAAAATCATTTTTTTTTAAATGATATATTTGTAAAGAAGGAACCTGCGGTCAACTATATAGGTGTACTGGGTAAATCTCCATTCTCGTATAATAACTTGCAAACCGTACGAAAGACGCAAACTATACTAGGTTAAACAATGTGTGACAAGCTCGACATAACAATCGTTGTCAAATGAATTCAAAATTTGGCCATTTGACACAGACTCGTTTGCTCCAAAGCCAGAGGTATAATATATTGTTTATTTATATTATAGGGTAAATTACAAACACCCCCTGAGGTATGGTCAAATTACAAAAACACCCCTCTTGTTTGGATAATTACAACCACCCCCTCAACTCCTCAAATTTAGTGGAATCTTCGAGATTATATGGAATATTATCACTTGTGTACCCGTTTTATCCCATTCAAACTCTACATTATGAAGCAAGATGATCATAATATGCGATTTTTAGCTTGTATATATCAATTTGTGGTGCATCGGAAACTGCATTTTTACACAAAAAGAGTAACAACTAGAGCACATTCCACCGAATCTATATGATTATGTTGAATGAGCGGCGACGTAAGAAAAAATCATAGTTGAGGGGGGTAGATGTAATTATCCAAACAAGAGGGGGATTTTTGTAATTTGACCATACCTCAGGGGGTGTTTGTAATTTACTCTATATTATATAAGATGTCATTAATTTGTACTTCAATATGGGACAACTATAATTGGGCTTAATCGTTTATTTGTTTGTTGCTATCTAATTGGGCCTGTAAGACTTGTTGGGCCAAGACTTATTGGAGTATTTTCTGTAGTAATATTTATTTTCCTCTTTGAGAATATATTTTTTTATTGTTTTATGTACGATAAGAAATGATAATTAAAAAAAATGTAGGTTTAAGTATCTTAAAACAATAAAGTCATAATTAATTTTTTTTATAAGGTCTTATTAATTAATTAGATAAATTATATGCCGACGAAATTATATCTCTAGATTTTTCAAGTCAAATCGTTACGTATCAATAAAATAAAAATTAATTCTTCATCATATCATCTAACAATTATATATATATGTTGATCGTGGGTTCGGCTTAAAATAAATTGATCAGATTATCAACGGGATTATTGAATAAATTGAATTTTTTTTAATTATTATTATTATTTAAATCCCGTGCATCGCACGAGTCGAATTACCAGTAGTGCATGCATAATTTTTAGGTGGGATATAGTTGAAGCATAAAAAGAAGATGCATTTGTGAAACTGATGTTTTTTCTGTCAGTCCAAAAACATTTGCCTGTAGGAAATTAAAAGAGATATCTTGTGATGATTCATTTGTTTTCTCTCTATTATTACACAAATTCTATGATTGAGCAATTGATTGATGCAACAAACACACAAAATTAATTAAATAAATAAATTGTGAAAGAATATAATAAAATAGTTTGATCTGCAAATTAAACTAAAAAAAAAAAAAAAATGAAAGCCAGCCTAAAAGATCACTATATATAAAATGGTAATATTTGTACTACTGCCATTATATTATAGCATTATCAGTTCTTGCTAGCTATTTACAATGCATGGCTCAGTGGTGTCCCTTCACTCAGTCATTTCTCAATTTCATGTCTGCAAATTAAATTTATATTATTTTTAAGAGTTTACATTAATTCAGATAATCATTATTTATGATATTTGTGAATAAAAAAAAAAGAGAAAATATGGTATGGATAAAGGCATTATTATTTCAATATGATGATATCTAGGAAAAGGGATTTCCTTGGAAAACCCGCACCCGCCCCGCTAGTAAAATTTTCCACTTGTACCCGTTAACCCCTTCCCGCCCTGGACCTGCAATTTCCTTTTATTTTATTGTATTTATAGTTTATTTAATTAAAAATGTCTAAAAATTAGTATCTTATAATATAGAAAATATATAAATGGGTAGGGTTAGATGTGAGGCCAGTAAGGGTGCATATGTTCGAAACCCGTACCCGCCAAATTAGCTATCAGATTGGAAATTACTCCGTAAATCTGAGGCGGGGCGGATTTAATTACCATCCCTAAATATAAATAAACATGCCATTTCTTAGTAATTAGCATTAGTTCACCAAAAATATATATATGTGTGTCATATTTGCATTTGCTTTTGAAATATTAGAGTTAGTGGCCACCTTTAAAAGCTGCAAATGACAGAATGTATATATACAGAATATATATATATATGCAGTAGTACTATATATATGTATGTTAATGGCAGGAACTAACTTTCTTCCCTAACTACTCTCATTCATGAAGATATAATTTATTTGAGAATTTAGTACCTCATCTTTTTTACGTGCATGAGATCTTCTTTTCAGAGCAATCATTATCCATTACTACTATTATACGACACACTCCATTATTATTTTCATGTTTAATAAATATTATATTAATTAGAATATAATTAGTTTCAAAATAAAATATCCTCCTCAAATTATTAGAAATTGACCATTTTCTTCCTAATTATTTACATATCTTCTTTACAAGAGTGTTGATTAGTCGGATAAATACGATAGAATGATATATAATATTTAACCGATCTTTTTTTTTTTTTTTTTTTGAATAATTAAACTAAAATTCAAGAATTTTTTTTTTTTTATTTTTAGAATTTTATAATTCACTATCTATATGTCACAACCTTTGTCTCATTGTCTACCAATAATATGCAAATCATGTGTTTTTCTACCTTTAGTACTTTGCCTTAGCTTGTAGTGGAACATATTGATTTCCTTTTGAATTTAAGTTAGCAACGACCAAATCAATGAACACAATTTAAGGGCTCCATACTTACGTAAATGTTACATCTGGTGAAATATATCCGATAATTTACCATTATATAAATTATCTACACGCACACAATCCTTCTAAGTATAGATATATAGACACATCTCTCTCTCTCTCTCTCTCTCTCTCTCTCTCTCTCTCTCTCACACTCAGCTATATATATCTACATATCGACGAAACGGAAAAAAACACATATTCATGGAGGGCACGAGCAAAGAGTCGAAGCCGAGGTTTAAGAAGGGTTTTTGGAAGCCAGAAGAAGACTTTATACTTAGGAAATATGTGGAGACTCATGGAGAAGGAAACTGGACTACTCTTTCCAAAAAATCAGGTTTTATTTTATTTTATTTTATTTTATTACTCCTTTAATTTAATCAAAATACATATATGCATTCGTTCATTCGATATGCTACGCGCTTGTGCGTATTTTGCACGACTTGATTTGATTCTTTGGAAGGACTTGATTCTTGAGTGAGTTTTAATTTACTAATTAAATTACTAGAAAATATATTATAAATTATAAATTCCCTTTGTATTAATGAGGCAATTTTATTCTGCATGTAATTTCATTTGTGATGGGATTTTTTAATTTTAATTATTTTTTTTTTAATTTTTTTTTTTGTTGTGATTAGGTTCGATGAGGGGTGGTAAGAGCTGCAGGCTGAGATGGAAGAACTATTTGAGACCAAACATCAAACATGGTATGATGTCTGAAGATGAAAAGGATCTCATAATTAGGCTTCATAAGCTTCTAGGCAACCGGTAATTAATTAACTAATTAATTAATATCTACACTAATTATACTTAATAATGTGGTCTAATATATGAACATTTTTGTATTTTATTTTTTGTGAAGATGGTCGTTGATTGCGGGTAGGCTACCGGGGCGTACGGACAACGAAGTGAAGAACTATTGGAATACACATTTGAACAAGACTAAACTTTGTCCCACTATTACGACGACTAGTAAAAAACGGCAACTATCATTGTCGACGACGAGTCGTCATCAGGAACACGTGGGAGAGAAGAAAGAAACTACTGCGGACAATAGTAATGTTGTCGATTCTTGGGTCGATCACAAGACGACGACGAAGATCAAAACCTAATTAAATTAAATAATATTGAAGAACTAGACTACTATAGTAACGATTGTCCGATATTGATCGATAATATGCGATACTCGCCCCCGTTGGATTTCATTGAGGAGGATGCATTTATGATGATGACGATGATGCCTAATTTGTTCGACGTTAGTAATAATTATTTCGTCGCGCCGCCGTTGTTTGGAATCGGAGGCTGCAGCAGCCCGGATAATGAAATATTCACGACCGGAACGCCATTTTTCCTCTAATGATGTGTGCTGATTAATTATTATATTATGGCTTATAAATTATAATAATTTATTTAATTTAGGCAGTAATTTTATTTAATGATGAAGTTTCGTTTATGCATATTATGTGTGATTTCTTCTGTCAATTTCTCTGTTTGTGAGTAGTGTTGAATTGGAACAAACTCACTGAGTTGTGTTGAATGTGTTATTTTTTGTGATTGTATTGTTATGTATGTTATTAATGGATATGAATTTCAACAAGGGGTATTGGTTTCGGTTTTGGATTTTGATTTCGGTTTCGGAATCGATCGGAATTAATTATTAAACTCTTCGAAAAAAATTCAACTTTTTTCAGAAATACAAAATTAATTCCAATTCCAAAATTTTAATTTCCGTTACTTATTAACGGAAATTAAAATTCATGCAAGAAAAACTAAATTAAATTTAACATATGGTTCTCCATGAAATTTACCAAAGCTAATATGGTTCAACTTGATTTATATACTCTTTAAAATTAAAAAAATATATATATATAAAAAAAAAAGTTTATATGTTAGATAATGGGCCATGAGGCGTGGGCTTAAGCTAAAAAGGGCCCAAAGACGATCCATTTTTTTATTAATTGACCCAATTAGTTTGAAGATCAACTAACTCTCAGTTAATTAGGTTTTGGTCCTTTTGGGCACGTATGTAATTCTCCAAGAATGCAGCACAAAAGTTTAATTGAAGTTCACCCCCGCATCTTTGGCCCGAATTAAGAAATACCCGAATTTTTACTTGTATTACTTTAGACACCACAACCATTTTACTTATTTTCAGTTATACCCTTCGACTACACATTTTACCTCTTCACGAAAAAAGAAAAAAAAAAAACTATTTCAAGAAGAAATTTTACTTATTATCAATTAATCATTCAAATTTTAAGGTGATAAATAATTGAAAAAAAAAAAAGTTTGAAACAGAAAGAGTATTATTTGTATAAAATGAAATGTTGAACGACGTCTTCTCAATTTTACTAATATCGTTTCAGCTTCAAACGTGCTTTTCACTTATTTGATTTTGGCTAAATTCAAAATTGTGGTTCTAATGTTAGCTTTTTAATTAATCCAATTTGAAATCATCTAAACTGGTTGTTGAGTAATAAGATTATGCATGACTGCGCGTTACATTTTGAATATTAGACAACTCTAAACATCGAATTACTCGGCACTTTTTTCATTGATTAGTGTAGATATCTCACCCCCGACATCCAATTAATTTTGATAACTCAAGTTGAATTAAAAAAACTAACTCAACTCAAAGACCTACAATATTTTTTTAAAATTTTTGCCAAATTCAGACTCGAAATGATCAAAATCGCGTTTGAACGATATTATTAAAAAAATTGAGGGTCGCTTTTTGGAAGTCTAAACCGAGTTTTTGGGGGTTTTAAAAAAAAAAATTCAAGGAAAAAAAGAAAGGGTAAAATTGGAATTACAAAAAGTTTAGCAAAACCAAGGATTGGTTGTCGACCCCTTGTCTTTTTCATACCACATCCCACTCCCCTCATTTGGCGCCACTGTTTCATCTTTGCCTTCTTTTTAACATTCTCCACACTCCACTGCGTGTTCTTTGTGTTAACTTTTGTGTGACAAATATTGCAACTCTTTTATTTAATTTGCCCTTAATTTGGGGTTACTTCATTAAACAAAATCAAGCACCCCTGTTTCCAATACCATGTTGCTTTTTTTTCCATTGTGCATTTCTTAATTGATCATTTGACTAACTAAATAGTCAAACATGTGACATATTCGACGAATATTAACATGCAGTATTTTCGGCAAGAGTGGTCAAGTTGGTAGGTTACGAGAGTCAGCATTCAATGACCTGAATTTGAATCCATCTACCAACATTTTTTCAGATGATCGGTTCACTTTTCGCTCGTGGTAGGCGAAAATTGCTTAAGAGTCCATCGTCATTAAACTAATTTGCTATAAGGACATTATTTGTTTTATTTTTGCTATAAGGACAAAACAATTTGTTATTTGCTATAAGTTCCTCGCAATTCCGTTGTATGTATAATCATCCACATATGAATTGTACCAATTGACTAAGTTGTGTATTCTCCGTTCAGTATAAACTCTTAAACTCGGGGGGGATTCCCGAGCTACCCAACTTGAGTGCTGACTGATTCTGCATCATTTACGCGCAATTAGATTAAACTACACTAATTAAGTTGTGTGTACACTATCAAATTTAACTAAATACATTGTGGACAAGTTGTGGATTAAATCTAATTAAGCTATATATGGTGGATCTATTGCTAAATTCAAAAAGGTAAATGTCCTTATTTGTATGAATTTATTGTTAACCATTAACTTAATTCAATTTTTATTTATTTTAATATTTGAAAAATGTGAATTGCTAACCTTGGACAAATGAAATGATTAGTATTAATTAAGGTGTCGGGAGTGATTTGTTCACTCCCATGATTATAAACAAAAGATGTGCAAATAAGCCAACACGACACAATTAATTAATGTCACACTCTCACTAAATTAAATAATCAAACTTTGGAGCATGGTGTGTATATATATATATGTATGTATATATAATATATATATATATAAAGGGGGTACAAATAAAATAAAATAAATAATGAAGACAAAGGTACAATAAAAAGGGGATTTTGTGTTTCTTGGGTGGGGGAATATTTGGAGATGCATGCGCAGGAGAAGAAGGAATTAAATCAAACTCTAATTTATTTATTTATTTAATTATTATATACATATTTTTGTTGAGTGTAAACTAAGCATGGAAACCCTAAAAGTTGTATTTGTTCCCTCCATTTCATATATATATATATATATATATATATATATATATATATATATATATATATATATATATATATATATATATATATATATATATATATATATATATATATATATATATATATATATATATATATATATATATATATATATATATATATATACACACACATATATATATATATATCATCATTTTCCTCACCTTCTTCTCCTTCCACATCCCAATGCAAAAACCCTCTTCTTAATTCTTCTCCGTTTAATATATATAGCATTAATTAATTGCATGAGTGATCATTTTTATATGTAATGGCTTCTTAATTTGATTTTCTCATGTAAATTAAATTAGCTTCTATGTTTATTTCACATTATTATGGCTCTCTTCTCTTTCTTGTTTCTCTTCTTCTTCGTTTATCGATTGTGTTTAAACCGTAGCCGTAGTAAGAGTTTTTTTTTTTGAACTCACGTTGTTCTAATTGGTCGTCGTCTTCTTCTTCGGTTTTAATTGAAGTTTGCGATGTTTTTATCAATCAAATAAATCCTCAAACTTTTTTTTATAAGTGGTTTCGGGTATTTTGGCTAATTTTCATAATCACAATCTTGGTGTATAAAATCGAATTCGGAATTCGGGTTGGGTAAATTAAAGAAAGCGATGTTGGTGAGGTTCAATCCGAAGACGGGTTTACACATGAAGGTTTGTAAAGAACGATCTCAGATTGAGCCGCGCCAATATCACTCTCTCTATATATCTCATTCTCCCTTTTCAACAATTTTATATTATATATATATTATTCAAGTTTTCTTGTTTTAATTAATCCAACATTATCTTCTTTATGGAAAAAAATAAAATAAAAAATAATCTTTCAATTCAAAATTCAGATGATATAATGATCATTAATTAGTTAGTCATTACATTAATGATTTAATGATGCAGATAGCTCTTAATATGTCGATTTTGGAGGCGGTACGGTGTTCATCGAGGCATCGTGTGTATATATAGGCCGTTTTACGTTACCGTAAAGATTTGCAAGGTGATTACAGTTTGATCTTATCATACGCGTGTATTGGTTATAACTACCTATTTCGCTCGGACACATGCAAATATAGAGTGCTGTTAGAATCCGGGAGGATTCTAATTTCGGTTTTTCAACACGAGTGTGAAAAACGTGTTTACAGCTAGGGAAGTTTCCTTAGTTCTTTTAACTCTTATTTTGTCATTAATTTATTTAATTGCCTAAGTGTTTTTGTTTAACAAGGAATTTTATTTGGAAAAGGATTTCCTTTGTTACACAACTCTCTTTTTCTTACGTGAGATAAAATAACCTAATGGGCTCCACTTTTGTGTAGGGCTCTACTAATTCACCTAAGGAAGTATAAGAGGGGGAGCATCAACGTTGTTTTAGGTTGTCCCTTTTATTTTTGGAGAGAAAATTTATTTTTCTGCTCTTACGTTGCTGCTCCAGACCTTTTGATCTTAATTCGAGAAAACAGAAAAAAAGGATTTGCTTCTTTCACCGAAAAGAAGATCGGTTCTTCGGGAGGAGAACTCAGAAGATCTCGGGAGGAGGTCGATCCGCCGACTGAGGGACTCAGCGTTGAAGGAATTTCAACCGTGTGGAAAAAGGACGTGCTGCAAAGTGAAGATTGACAATTAAGCGTAGGATACAAGAACGGCGTCTACAAAGAGGGAGTCTTTGCATTTCGATTAAGTCCTATTATTGTATTCGTAAAACTAAAGATTAGTGAATTTCATTTGCAGGTCCCCGTGGATGTAGGGTACAATTGTATCCGAACCACTTTAAAATTTGTGTCTTTTTATTACTGTTTCATTAACTGTTGCAACTCTTCGTAAAACAGTAAAACGGTATTAAAAACTGAATCTGAAATTCATCGGACACAAATATATAATTAATTTGCACGAAATAATTCTAACAAGTGCGAAAGTACGGTGGGTACGGTTGTAACCAGGTAACCGGGTGTAGCGTATATAGAAACCCGGTGAGTTGCAGAGTTAGGGTTTCTTTTATTTTGGTAATTTATAAGAAATTGATTCTTGATTAGCCTCTGTCTCGTTTATCCATTTAATTCAGAACCAAGTATATAACTATTGTATATATTTTATTTCAATTCAAATTATTCATCATTGTTAATATTTAGCATTTACACCAAATAATTATTTCTTATAAAACATTTTCAATAAGTATATATGTAATAAACCTGCTACTGTAATGCCCTCTTGAAAAATGCGATAATTGGAAACTCCAAAATCGGATGTTCCGGTTGGACGTAAGAGATCTCCGAATACTCTAGTGACCGACCTCCGAAAAAAACGAGACGAGCCGTGATATATTTATATATAAACCCTTTTAGTACTTTTATTAATTATTTTTATTATTTAGGGATAAATAGTTACAATCACCCCCTCAACTATAAATCTTCTTACACGTCCAATCTTGCGGTTTCAAATTTAGTGGAATCTTCAAGATTGTATGTAATATTGTCGCTTTTGTACCCGCTTTATCACATTCAAACTCCACATTTTGAAGCAAGATGATCATAAAATGTGTTTTTTGGCTTGTATATATCTGATTGTGGTGCATCAGAAACTGTATTTTTATACAAACAAGTACAAATTAGAGCACATTCCACGAAATCTAGATGATTATATTGAATTTGACACCATAAAGGTGGAGGTGTAAGAAAAAATCATAGTTGAGGGGGTAGATGTAATTATCCAAACAAGAGGGGTTTTTTCGTAAATTGACCATACCCTAAGTGGTTGTAATTTACGCTATTATTTAAGAAACCATGTCAGATTTTTATTTCATTTATTAAAAAAAAAAAAAAAAAGAATAACAATAAATTTAATATAATATTAAAATTTAAAGTTTCAAACATTCATAAAAAAACACACAAAATAAAACATACAATAGTGTTAGAACCAACAAGCAATATTACAGAACAATCTACGAAAACGGCAGTTCCGTTATTTACAACGATGTTTGCCAGATATGAATGGAGAATCGAGTTTCTTCTTTCGCCTGCCCGCCTGAGAAAACCGAGTGTGACACGACAATATCGCGAGGTCGTTCAGTTCTTGCAGCGACGTAAGAACCTTAACAACTTCATCCATCGAGGGGCGTGATTTAGTATCTCTGCTCAGGCAACTGCAGGCTAATTGAGACACCTTCTGCACGCCTTTGATTGAGTAGTTCAGCTCGAGGCGTGGGTCCACTATCTGGTAAATCTTTCGTTTGTCGGACAAATACGCCCTTGCCCACGTCACGAGATTTTGCTCTCCGCTAGGGCGTTTCTTGTCCATCGACCTTCTACCCGTTAGAATCTCTAGAAGTACGACTCCGAAGCTGTACACGTCGCTCTTTGAAGTCAAGTGACCTGAGAGAAATACGAGGTCGTTTAATTTAGGCGCTGTTTGGTTCGTGGATTTTGAATTAGTAAATAAAAACAAAAACAAAAAAAAAATATTGAAAATATCTCCAGTAGAACATCGATAAATTAATACTCGATAAATTAATAACCTCGTTTAAATAATAATTTCTTACTGTCCCGACTCGGTAAAAACGTACTAAATTATTAGCTCGATAATTTAATATTTCGCTAAATTATTGAAAATATCTACAGTAGAACCTCGATAAATTAATACTCGATAAACTAATAACCTCGCTTAAATAATAATTTCTTACTGTCCCGACTCAGTAAAAACGTACTACATTATTAGCTCGATAATTTAATATTTCGTTAAATTACTTGAATTTTGTCAGTCGTGATCGTATTAATTTATAGAGGTTTACTGTAGTATGTTTTGGTTCCTAAGGAAAATCGTAATGTACTTGATTTTGTGCAAACTCGTTTTCCTCATTTGTAATCTTAACATGCGAGATCGATTAACATTGCGATATATATATATATATATATATATATATATATATATATATATATATAT